TCTCCGCCTCGCCCCGCTCTGAGCTGACCGCTGCCCCTGTCCGCCCAGGTCCGTGGAGTTCCGAGACTTCCTGAAGACAGCCCTGGACAAGAACCCGGAGACCCGGCCCAGTGCCTCGCAGCTCCTGGAGGTGAGTGGGTCCTCTCCCGGGGCTTCCTGCCCTCTGTCACTGTCAGAGCTGATGGGTTCCTCACCCAGCCCAGGTGACAGTGTGCGAAACCATTCATTCTTCAACCGACATTCCCCGGGAGCCTCCTAAATGCCAGTTCTCGCGCTGGGAGCGCTGCGTGCAGGAAGCCCCCCGAGCCGGTCCTCGCGGAACTGCTGTTCCAGTGGGGTGACGGGGTGGATGAGCAGATGTGTGCTCGCGGCAGGGGGAGACGGAGGCTTTGGAGAAAACAGCACAGGCCGGTGGCGGGCCCAGGGTGAGGGTTGCCCCCTTAAAGCGAGGACAGAGGCTTCCTGTGTGCGCAGACACCAGAGGGGATGAGGGAGCCAGGCCAGAGCAGACGCCCATTCTGGGACGTGAGCATGGGTGGCACTACCCTAGAAGGGCCACGAGGCCCAGGCAGGGGGGCCAGGGTGAGGGCAGGGGGACTCACTGGAGATGAGTGGCGTGGTATCCGCCCGATTTGATGGTTCAGAGGACGCCCAGGGCTCATCGTATCATGCTCAGGCTTTCAGAGTCACACAGGCCGCACTTAGTTCCCCCAGCGACAAGTTGGGACGCGTGTGAAATGTCTACCCTCTGGGGCGTGCGGCACAGCGATGAAGTCCTGGGTTCACATCCCAGCTCTGCCACTTACTGGCTGAGACCCTGGGCAGGTGGCCTAGCCTCTCCGACTTGGTTCTTGCTCTGAAATGGGATTAGAGCAACGTTCCCTTTGCAAGGTGCTTGAGGATGAAGTGAGAAGGTGCCATAAAGGGCTTAGCTTAACTATTAAGCACTGTGCTCAATGAATATTTGATGTGTTGAATTGAATGGTTAAGAAGGGGTCCTGGCCAGTTTGGCTCAGCGGTTGAGTGTCGACCTGCTGACCAGAGAGTCCCGGGTTTGGTTCCCGCTAGGGTCACGTACCAAATAAAAAAAAAATTTAATTAAAAAAAAGAAGGAAAGAAACCAGGTTGCACGACGGGGGTCTGCCTGCTAGACGGTCAGGACTGTCCCGTGTCGTTTTCTGCGGGGTGTTTGAAAGCAAAGTCCGTTTCCTGGGTGTCGCGTGCTCCGTGGGGCAGTGTCGGAAGGGGGTGGACTGGGCCCGCCCGAGGTGGGCTGGGCCGGGCCTGCTGTCACTGTCAGAGCAGGAGCCCCCGCCCGAGGTGGGCTGGGCCGGGCCTGCTGTCACTGTCAGAGCAGGAGCGCGAGCCACAGTCGATTGTTTCCTGTAGACAGGCACCTCCTGGCCTGTTACATCCGCCTCCGGGACATTCCACCGGGAAGAGACAGCTGCCCTCCACCCCCACGCGGCAGCCGCGAGCCAGACCTGAGCCAGGCATGTCCGGTCCGCAGTTGGAAATGTCCTGCCAGAGGACTCTCACTGTGGCAGAAAGGGTTGCAGAAAGGAGCAGCCTTGGAGATAAATAAGACACTGTTCAGAGCTTAGGCGGCGTGGCTTTTCCCGGGTGCCTCTCGTCTCCGCGTGAGGGGGGCTGGGGCAGGTTCCCTAACCCTAGGTGAGGACACCAGGTTCAGGGCAGCCTTACCGAGGTCACCTGGCCTGGAGAGACATGGTTCCAGATCTTGGCTTCCCGGTGCCCCTACAGAGCTGGTCATTTCCCCACTTGGGCCCTTGTGTCTGCCTGCTTCCGGAAGCTTCCTCCCAGCCCCCAGCTTCCTGTGTTCTGCCTGGAGCGCACCAGCATTGCCCTCCGGGTCATGGTCATGCACTGGCTCGTGCAGGTCCTCGGCACCGTGTCGCAGTGCCGTCCAGGCTGCACAGCGGGCTTTCCTGCCCTGACCTTCTCTGTGCCTCGGTTTCCCCAGGGATGTGGCTAGTGCTCACTTCCCAGAACCGAGTGGATGAAATTCTAGAGGCACCGTGTTTAGCATAAGGGCCGTCACACACCAGGTGCTTGGTCCGCACTTGCTGAACGTGTTCTTACGTCCACTCGCGCTGCCCGCGTCCTTGTCAAGGGCACCGGCACCCCCGTCCCCTCCCGCATCTCGGACGTCCCCGCTCTCCAGAGGAGCCTCCAGCACACCGAGCCTAGTCCTGTCTCAGGACTTTGCACTTGCTGTTCCTCTGCCTGGAATTCTGTGCCCAGATCTCCCTGGCCAGCCCCTCACGTCCCTCAGGTCTCAGCTCAAATGTCACCTCCTCCGGGGTCCTGACCACACACCCAAATAGCCTCTGCCCAGGCCAGGCGGTCCCGCCTTCGCTGTCCTGCACTGGACCTGCAGTGACCTTGTCTTCGGTTACATAGCTGTCGTCTCCCCTCAGCTAGAAGCCGCCATGGCCTGGACCGTGCCCGTCGTCTTGTTCACCTCCTCACTTCAGCCCCTGCCGTGTGCTGGCCTCGCGTGGCTGCGGCATGAGCCCCTGAACCAGCGGGACATGGGAAAGGAGAAAGAAATGGGCTTCAAATCTTGACTGGTTTGGACTAGCTAGACAGTCACCCGAATGACAGGGCTCTCCAGAGTGAGTGAGGCTTGTCGCTGTCAGCTATAGAGCAAGGTGCCCGAGTTGAGTAGGTGTTGCCTTGTGGCCTCCCGTAGATGAACCGATCGCGGTGAACAAACAGATGGACGTGATTTTAGCAGACCTAGTGGATGTGAGTGTGTTTTCCGGGTGCTGGAAAATTTAGTCATTTTGCATACGTCCCTGCAATCGTGACACTGTTCCTCTGCTGATAAAATTTCTGACAGTAAAATCAGTGAATTTCATCAGAGCCTTCCTGGAAATTTCAGATAAGCTTATCCAGCGCAATGACAGCCCCCCCAGCACTCCTTCCGGGCTGCCCTGGGTGAGTGTAGAGTGGAGGAACCCCATCCCTGGCTCACACCGTGCTGGGGGGAGATGCCAAGGGCAGAGCTGCACCCAGGAGGCGTTCATGCTGACTTAACATCTGAGCCCTAGCAGCTGTGGTGTTCCGCAGGGTCTGTGACAGACGACATTTCCGTAAGCGCCCTGAACAGAATGCACACCACTCTGCCTCACACTTTTGCAGACACACATGTCCACTGAAGACGTGTTCTCAGCAGTTTTAATCACAGGCACCCAAAACAGGAGACAACACACGTCTACCCGCAGCAGAAGGAACGAACAAGCTGTCATATTCGTGCAGTGAAACACTGCGCAGGAGTAAGACAGCTCACCAGTCCGTGCAGAGTGTAGGTGAACGTGTTCAACCGCAGGAGACGGCACACTGCTGGGCTCTGGTCACGTGAAGTTCAAGAGCGGGCAGGACTAGCTCTGAGCTAGGCAACCGGGGTTGACTGCTGGGGGCACAGGGCCCTTTCCCAGGTCATGGGAGTGTTCTCCGTCTTGGGAGGTGGTTGCTCGGGGTCTATATATAGGAAAAGTATGGAAAACGTCACTGAGTGTAATGATCTGTGAACTTACGATGGAAATAAACACCAGCACCCTGCCCCAGACATTGCTTCAGCTCCTGCTTCGGGCTGAGCCCTTCCGTGGGCATGGGCATGGTCTGTCGTCATCCAGACTTCCTGTGGCTTGGCATCACGGCCTCTTCTTTAGAGGTGAGGTGCCTGCAGCTCAGAGAGGGGAAGTGACATGCTCAGTGTCGCACAGCTGGTGACTGGCCGTTGGGATTTGCCCTCGTCCTGTCACACACAGGATTTCTGAGCTGCCTCTTGGTCTCCCTAACCCAAGCACACGGTACCCCAGCCTTTGCGCCTTCTCACCTTCCAGCCCAAAGTGGCCCTGAGCAGGTGTCTTGTCCCCCTCAGCACCCCTTCGTCAGCAGTGTCACCAGTAACAAGGCTCTGCGGGAGCTGGTGGCTGAGGCCAAGGCCGAGGTGATGGAGGAGATCGAAGACGGCCGGGATGAGGGAGAAGAGGAGGACTCCGTGGACGCTGCCTCTGTAAGACCAGAGGAATGGGTGCTGGGGGGGGACAGGAGCCCCGCAGGCCTGGCTTCTGTGGGGGGGCCTGGAAGAGCAGGAAGAATTCCTTGCTGTGTCCGGCTGGGCGGGCAAGGCTCCCACACCCCAGGTTACGTCAGCTTGCACACGGGCCAGGGAGTGCTGGCCGGACCCTGTACGTTTTCAGGGAAAACCAGGAATCGAGATTTTCACATGAGATCTTTGCTTCCCAGCCTTTCCCCATTGTGGCTCACATAAAAAATGAGCACATTTAAAAAACAATTTTTTTCTTTATTGTCATTCGAGAGAGAGAGAGGAATAGAGAGACAGAATTATTGATGAGAGAGAACATCGATTGGCCACCTTCTGCTTGCCCCCCACTGGGGATCAGGCGTACAACCTGGGTGTGTGCCCTGAACCAGTGACCTCTTGGTGCGTGGGTCAACGCCCAACCACTGAGCCACCCAGCCGGGCCAGCATGAGCACGTCTTGAGTGCACTGTGGATAAATACAGATGAAGGCTGCATGTGATCAAAGGCAATAGGCCGAGGGGCTCTGGCCACCCCACACCCCACCTGGCTGCCCCGAGTGCCCAGGGGACCCCTGTCTGGGCACATTTGTAACCTACCTGCAGCTTCAGCACTTGGCTGAATTTAAATTTAAATGGAAGTTAATTTTTAATTTTTTTTTTTTTTTTTATCCTCACCCGAGGACATTTTTCCATTTTTTGTTCAGGTAGAGTGGGAGGGAGAGAGAGGAACAGAGAGAGAGAGAGAGAAACATCGATGCGAAAGGAACACATCGAGTGGCTGCCACCCGCACAACCAACCAGGGCCGGGGACTAACTGCAACCGAGGTACGTGCCCAAAGCGGCAACCGAACCCGGGTCTCTCAGGACCGCAGGCCGACGCTCTAACCGCTGAGCCAAACCGGCCAGGGCTGGAAGTTAATTTTTAAAAACTTAAAACCATTTGAGCCACGTGAAGCATGTCTGTGCTGCTTCAGGACTGCTGGTCTCATCGGTGGGGAGGCCTCTTCCAGGGGGACTTCTCTGTCCTGATGGTGCCGCGGACCTCGTGAGGCTGGGCGTTGGTGTGGGATGACAGAGCAGATCTGACTTTTGAACCCTTGCTCTGGGTATTGAATAGAAGGTGGATTAGAGTGCTTCTGGAAGCTTCCATATCCAAGGTCAAAAACCAGCAGCCATCAGGACCTAAGGGAACGCTCACAGTGAGTCCATTCATAGCAAGTTTGACCCCAGGCAAACCAACCCGACGCGTGGAGATGGCAGTCAGGGCGACTGTGCCCGGGGGAAGGGGGGCCACTGTTCCGCTCCTGAACTGGAAGAGGCCACGTGGGTGCTCACTTTATTCACTGGGCTGGACTTCAGGTCTATCCAGATAACAGGTGTTCTGTTTTATAATCACAACGTTTTCAATACCTTCCCCCCCGCCGCCAAAGCTCTTAAAACAAAACTTGAAAACATTAGTGGCTGGTAGGTGGAATCTAGCCCCTGGATCAGTTTATTTTGGGTTTTATGCAATTATAAAAACACTTTAACTCATTGCCATCTAAAACTTACTAGACGTCATGTAAAAATCCAGATTCTAGCGTGTCTTGAGGAATTTGGAAGGTCTGGCTATAGGGGATCCATCTCCCCACACTGTCACCGTCACTGGAGCCAGGTGGTCACTGCCCCTTTCAGACAGGCACGAGCGGTCCAGCTGGCCACAGTGGCCTGCATTTTTAGGAGGAATAACAGGCATTAAACTAGGATTAGAGACAATCAGGAGATTTCTATTGCTCAAAGCAAGTTGGTGAGGCAATAGGGAGAGGTGAGGACTGCGGCTTGCTGGAGAGTGGTGCCTACGCTGTCTCCCTGGCCTTGGCCTGCTCCACCCTGTGGGCATCTGACCGTTGCCTTGCACATACAGCAGCATGGCCTCCACTATCTTCTTTCCCTCTAGCCTCTGGGGAACCACACTCCCGACTCTTCTGAGGCGAGTCAGGTGAGCCTTGATGCCGACAAGCTTCCCAAGGAACCATCTCTCACTCCAGCGCCACCAAGCCCGCCTCAGGACAGCGACAATGGGCCCAGCCAGCCCTCCGTGGACAGATCCCTCCAAACCACCAACCCCCCAGATGTGGCCCCCGAAAATAAGAATGGCCTAGCAGTGTCTGTGCCTCTCCGTAAGTCCCGGCCGGTGTCAATGGGTGCCAGAATTCAGGTATCTGAGGAGAAGCAAGCCACTGACCAGGGTGGGGACCTCGGTCCAGCAGCCAGCCGGTCCCAAAAGACAAGCCAGAGCCGTCCCAACAGCAGCGCCCTGGAGACTTTGGGCATCGAGAAGCTGGCCAACGGCAGCCTGGAGCTCCCTGCCCCAGCATCTCCTCACCCTTCCAAGAGGGACTCGGACTGTGGCAGCCTGTCCACCTCTGAGAGCATGGACTACAGCACCTCCCTGTCCGCCGACCTGTCCCTGAACAGAGAGACGGGCTCTCTGTCCATTAAGGTAACGCCCCGGCTCTCACACAGGCTGGGAGCAGGATGTTTTTCTGCTGTTTGGGTTTTTGAAAGCAGTTGGTGGCAGCTTTCCATTTCTAAGGGGCTCCCAAGGATTGCTCTTTCTTTAAAGGGCTTTTAGTTCGACCTACAGTTTAATCTTCAAAATACCTGAGTTCATGTGGGATTTAGTCATATCCAACAGTTCATTTGGGTTTAATCAATTTGGGTTTCCATTTCACCTTGGTGAAATCTGGGGGAGAGAATTCTAGAAGTGGGAGTTGTCTTATTTGCGGGTCAGCCGTGTGGTCCAGCTGGTACCTGGAAAGGTTGGAGAGGGAGATATGAGAACTGTGGTGCAGGCCCACAGGCCCTCACCTGAATCAGGGAGCACGTTCAAAGGGTATCTGAACCCCTCCGGAGTCCTGGCAGTACTCTGTAAGCCACACAGAGACCATGAACAATCTCACGGTGCCTCCAGATGGGTGTGGCCTCCAGTGGAGATCAGGGCAGATCAGGCTGGGCTGCCACGTCAGTTATGCACTTGGTTTTCTGGGCTCTTTGGATGTTGGTGTTGTGAACAGAGAGCGGTCTGCAGTAGTAACTGTCAGTGGTCAATGCCAAGTATTGAACAGTTGCCAGGAGCCAGGTGCTGCCCCCAAATTTTCTCACTGAAACTTCATAACCATCCTGGGAGTCAAATACTGCTTTTCTCCTCTGACAAGATGAGGAAGCTGAGGCCCAGACAGGACAAGGGACTTGCCCAGGGTCCCAGAGCCAGTAGGTGGTGAAGGGTTAGAAACGTCCTGTGGTGTGAGTGCGGGCAGTAAGGGAGGGCATGGGGCAGTGTCTGAAGGCCAAGATCAGGGCAGGGGAAGGGGATAAGTTCAGACACCCCCCTTGGGTTGAGAAGCTTGAAGCTTCTCGGGGACAGTGGACAACCACGTCCTCCCTGGGTACAGGGCTGTGGGCCATACCCTGCCACCCATGGATTCTTAGCTGAAAGGCTGAGCTTTGCCTAATGATGTTCCCCTGCCAGGACTCAAGGCTACACAATAAAACCCTCAAGAGGACGCGCAAGTTTGTGGTAGATGGCGTAGAGGTGAGCATTACCACCTCCAAGATCATCAGCGAAGATGAGAAGAAGGATGAGGAGATGAGATTTCTCAGGTGAGCACGGGAAGGGTTGTTGATGGAGCTGACTAGGTGGGGCGGGTTGAAAAGGGTGGGCGTGGTGTAGCTGTTTCTGGTGAGAGAGCTGTCTGTCTACAGAATGAAGCGATGGATCAAGAAGACAAAAAGAAATTGGCTTTGCTTGAGATCCTGCACCCACCCACCCATCCATCCATCCATCCATCCATCCATCCATCCATCCATCCACCCACCCACCCACCCACTCATTCATCCATCTATTCACCCACCCACCCATCCATCCACTCATTCATCCATCTATTCACCCACCCACCCACTCATTCATCCATCTATCCACCCACCCACCCACCCACCCACCCACTCATTCATCCATCTATTCACCCACCCACCCATCCATCCACTCATTCATCCATCTATTCACCCACCCACCCACTCATTCATCCATCTATCCACCCACCCACCCACCCACCCACTCATTCATCCATCTATTCACCCACCCACCCATCCATCCACTCATTCATCCATCTATTCACCCATCCACCCATCCATCCACTCATTCATCCACCCACCCATCCATCCATCTATTCACTCACCCACTCACCCACCCAATCACTCTTTCATCCATCTATCCATCAACTCACCCACCCACCCACCCATGTATCTATCCACCCTTCCAGGTTGGGGGACATGGTAGTGACCCAGATAGTTGAGGCTGTTGGTTTTGTACAACTTGGCATCTAATGAGCCAACACCCAAGATAATTCCCGATTTGTGGTACATGTGAAGGAAGCAGTGGTGGTACGACAGTGAGCGCCTGGGCTGGGGGAGGCTCAAGGAACCCCTGAATGGGAACCTGAAGGGCGAGAGGAGCTGGCCACCAGCAGGCTGGGGAGCAGACAGGGCGCTGCAAGGTTGAGGCCTCAGGAGTGACCTCAGCTTATTCGGGAACTGAGAAGACAGAGCTGGGGTGTGGTCCCTGGAGTCCTCAGGGCCTGTGGGTCAGGGTGGAAAAGTGTGGATTTTACCCCAGCCAAACGAAAGAACAGGAGAGTGACCAGCTCTGCCGCCCCTTTTGAAAGGTGCTCTGGCTGCTGTGAGTTTGGGCTGTAGAGGAGACCCCAGCCAGGACAGTGGCCAGGAAGAGGTAGTCAGACTTCACATACATTTTGGAGCAAAGCCGACGAAACTGACGGGCTGGTGTGGGGCGGAGGGTGTGAGGCAGCGCTACCTGCGAAGAACCATCTCGGCACCGTTAAGGTGCTCAGGCCCCTGAACAGCCCTCTAGGAGACTCTATTTTCATGTTTTGTAAATGAGGAGACTTTCTTGGCAGGTCGGTCACTGACCTGGTCACCCAGGTGAGAGGGGTCGAGCTGAGGTTGTAACCAGGCCTGCCTGAGGGAGGGTTCTGGCGTGCAGCTTCCTGGGGGCTGCTGGGCTTCGGGGTGGGGGCTTAGCAGTCAGGAGGCCTTGGGGCCAGGCCTTTGAAGGGTAAATTCATTTTTAGTTTAGAGAACATTTCTAGAATATCAGACACATTCATATTTTTAACAAGCACAAACAGCCCTGGCCGGTTTGACTCAGTGGTTAGAGTGTCGGCCTGCAGTCCAGAGAGACCCGGGTTCGGTTCCCGCTAAGGGCGTGTACCTCGGTTGTAGTTTGTCCCCGGCCCTGGTTGGATCGTGCGGGTGGCAACCACTTGATGTGTGAAAGTTGATGTTTCTCTCTCTCTCTCCTATTCTATCTGAACAAAATATCAAAAAATGTCCTCGGATGAGGATTAAAAAAAAGGACAAACATTCCAAAGTCATATAGAAGCAGTCTGGGATGCTGTGGGCCATTTGTCCCCTCTAGGAAACAGGAGAGAGGCACACCTTTCCCTGGGGGCAGTTCTGAGTACACACACGTGCACACACACTACTCTTTGGTGTCATTTGTGTTGGGTGGGGCAGTAGGGAGGGAAAGGTTGCTGTCAGTGGATGACACCACCTGTTTGAATGGTCACCTGGTAGGTGATTTGTACTCCTCAAGCTTCAGACCTCAAGGGCTGGCTTTCCATCTCCCCTCTGGCCAGCTGAGGTTCCCGGGGTTGAAGTTCCAGGTTTACCATCCCCCATCTAGAAGGGATGCTCCTGGCCTCCTCCTGAATGGAGAGCTGCGTGCTGCTCAGGTTCGGAAGGTGAGACTTGGCTGAGATGGAGAGGCGCTCATGAGGAGCGGAACGAGGCTTTCTTGTTTGCCTGCTGTGGTTCTGAGGTCTGAGCGTCCTGTAAGCCACGTCTCTTTAACCCCTCAGGCGCCAGGAACTCCGAGAGCTTCGGCTGCTCCAGAAAGAAGAGCATCGGAACCAGAACCAGCTGAGCAGGAAGCACGAGCTGCAGCTGGAGCAGATGCATAAGCGTTTCGAACAAGAAATCAATGTGAGTGCGAGGCAACATGGGACCCTGTAGGGCTCCTTGCCATCTGTGTTTTCTTTAAGCAGAAGCTGCAGAGCGGGGGTGGTTGCGCGGTGGAGAGTCATTCCGTTGTCCAGTTCCTCTGGTTTCCTGATCTCATTAGGCACTGACTTGTAAACAAAGACATACATGACGGTCACTGTGCACCATGCAAGAGCCTTACACGGTATATGTCTGGTCTCCCATTTGCACGTGAGGAAAGAGACTGAGAGGTTAAGTGACTTGTTTCAGGTCACACAGAAAAGGTGATCGAGCTGGGCTATGAGCCCAGGTCTGAGGACAAGCTCTGGGCTCTCCCCATCCTGCTCCCCATCTTCTTCCCGGTGACTTATAAAGTAACTCTGTGGAATTCCTCTTTCTGCTCCTTCCAGGCCAAGAAGAAGTTCTTTGACACGGAGCTGGAGAACCTGGAGCGTCAGCAAAAGCAGCAAGTGGAGAAGATGGAGCAAGACCATGCGGTGCGCCGGCGGGAGGAGGCCAAGCGGATCCGCCTGGAGCAGGAGCGGGACTACACCAGGTTCCAGGAGCAGCTCAAACTGAAGAAGAAGGAGGTAGGCTGTGTTGGGCAGAGGCACGGCGGTCTAGGTACTAGAACCCTCTTGGTTGCAAGCGATCCAAGCGATTGTAACCTCAGCTCAACATTGCTTCAGCAACAGAGGGGATTTGGGGGAGCTCGTTTTCCTGGAACACTCACATCAGTGTGTCTGGATCCACGTGCTCCAGCTGCACCATCAGGAGCCGCTCCTCCATCCCCTGGGCTCTGCTTTCCTGTGGACTTGGCTCCCAGGCAGCTCCCTATGCACCCTCCAGCTTCGAAACCCCCGCTGAAAGAAAGCAGGGAGAAGGAAAGATGGCGGCCCAGAATTTGAGATGCTGTCACCGGAAGGGGAGTGGGTGCAGGTGGGCAAACGCACACGTCCCCTAAGCCCGACCCACTCTTCTCGCAGAGCAGCAGTCCTGAGTTTGGACCTATGCAGCCTCTCCCTTCCCCCACCCAGCTGGAAGGGGGACGTGGCCAAGAGGAGATGGTTCTGAGACAAGGGGAGGGAGGAGGCACCTGGGTCCCACACAACAGGCCACACCTCCCTGGGTGAGCCAGGGAGGCTGGGACACATGTGCTTTCCTAGGTTCTCAAGAGGAAGGAGGGAGCCAGGAGGTGGAAGCCCCCAGGGCAGGTGTACCAATCCAGGCCATTCCCAATCTCCGGATGGGGGCTGTGGGGGAACAGCCTCTAGGGTGGGCCACGGTGCGGGGGGGCCTGAGCCCAGCTCCTGGACTCTACCTCGATGGGCATGGCATCTGGTGCCACCAGGGGGCCTGTGGGAGCAGGGCTGGGTGAGACAAGGGAGGCACTCGCCTCGGGCACGAAGTTTAAGGGGTGCCCGAAAATCTCAGTAATCAACATAAGTAATATTCTAATGCGGTGTTTTATTTTTTTGAGTATCTAATGCAGTGTTTTAAAATGAAACTCATGCAACATAGTCTTGATAAATAGAATATTGGCTACTTAAGGTAAAAACAGGATCCGATAGGGCCAGGATTAAGGGGAAGCAGCAAGGCCGAGTCCTACATGTTTGGGGCTGGATCTTGTCTGTATTTAAAATTTGGATATTTTGTTCATGTTTTTTTTGCATAAATCTTGAGCTTTTAAAATGTTATTTGTCTTGCTGAGTGTTTCGGCACGCCCTTCTGTGCCTGGGAGGAGTACCCCACCC